CATGGATTATACCACTCATTACCACTCATAGCATTATACCACTCTGTAAAAATGATTTTGTATTTCACTGGGGTTTTTGCAGTATTGCTGGATATTTTCCAGAATGCCCATCATTTTTGTTATGTGGAGTAACTTCCACATTTCTAGGAGCACATCCAAACAATACCTGTATATTTATCTGTCTGGCTTCTTCTAACTTTCTTAAAAACTTTCATTGATGGATTTTTATGTTAAGAACGGAAATATTTAGTGTTATATTTTGAAGGGATACTAGCTACAAGGAATCTATATTTACCAACTGATATCCAAAAAATATTGTATGTCCCCCTTATAACTTCTGTATCTTCCCTAAAGACAAATCAGTGATACGCACAGTGATGTACTGTTGAAACATTGAGCACAGCAATAATGGGTGGGCTTTTTTCATTGTTTCTTTTTTCCCTCTTGATTTTGACATGTTCATAATTAGCCTCCCAGCAAGACCATCTGCAGAAGAGATCAACAGTACTTAAGTGTATCTGATAAATCATAGAATTGAGGAGTGTTTCTAACTAATTAGAAATCTGTCCCCCCCAGGATACATTAATTTGTAAATCTAGTATAGACATACTTGCTCATTTTGGACCTCAAACCTCTTCTTTGTGAAGAATAACTGGGATAAAATTTTCTACAGGGTTTATTTCTACTCTTAAGGGTTTATTTCAGGAGATGTAAAGGTTTCCCTTAGTTGAATTCTTTATCCTGCAATAAAGCCATAATTTCTAAAATTTGACTTACTATGCCTTCCTTTTCCGCAAACCAAATGCAAATGCATTTGTTTTTACTGGAAAGGGGGTTGAAATATTAACAGACTAAGACAAGATACAAAACCTAGAAATGATAAAGCAAATTCCAGGATCTACTCACAGCATTTTCTTTCTTCCATATTCAGGACAGTGCTTTGCAAATCTGGCAAAATCACTTACAAATTTAACGTAGTAAAAAGTGTCGTGTGGAACCTGGTATACGTGGAACGGTACTTCTGTCTGGCTTGAATTCTCTCTCTGCTGGTAGAACTTTTAACCTTGATGGCTGCTGTTTTTATTTTCACATTTCTGAGGCTTCTTCCTTCCTCGCTGCTGGAGAACATGCTGCTCAATACTCAGAGTTGCACACTATTGAAATTGTGTGGATCAATGGTGACGGCAAGGATATCTATGCTTATCTATTCTTTGGCTCAGCAGAACCACTCTTAATTTCCAGTGTAACTATATTTGAACCTACTTATCCATTTGTACAGAATTGTTGTGAAATAAATTTAACAGACATTGTGCTAACTCATTTTCAGCTTCTTTTCCCTGCAGGCTTTTTCTTCGGGTATGACTATCCAGTAAAGCCATTTGTTCACTCTTTTCATCCACATCTGGCCATTTCACTATTTACCCTCTATTCATAGCATTCAGCAAAGGAATAACTATATGGTTCAAAACCACAACAACTATGTTCCCTGTAAGCCATTCATTTCTCCTGTGTCTTTATCAAGTTATCACAGGCTGTGGCTGCATCAGCTTAAAGGAGAGATAAGTCATTCACTAGAAAACAGTTTCCGACAAATGATTTATTGCACTAGTGCCATTTTTTAAACAGACTGGCCCAGAGTGCATTTATTTTGCCAGGATCACAGGGACTGTGTTGACCTACTCGTGTTTTTGTAAAGCTGACAATATCTGCTGGAAAAGTGGTCCAGCTCTGGCATCAAGTGATCAAGAATGCATGAAAAAAGGGTGAGGTTCACTTCTGAAATTGCCCGACATTTAATTGAAGAGACTACTTGTTCACACACTGCTGCTGTGGTGAGATTTGTTTAGGTCTTGACCCGAGCCTCTCTGCACTTTGGAGCTGTATTGAAGTACAGAATAATTGCCTAATTTTATTTATTTTTCTCAAATTTCAGTGTTTTGGGGAAGAGAGAACACCCCCAGTAATGTCTCCAAGACCAGCTAAATCTTTTTGTTCAGAGAGTTTCCTGTTTCTTAGTCTCTTACAAATCTGAAATCATGACCATTGAATCTATAACTTTTCTTCCTTTTACACTGAACATATTGTATTAGACAGCCCAAAACCAAAATTTCAATAATTTTCTTCATCTGGTATATAGAGCGGAGCCTTAATCTGCTACTTGGTGGTTCCCAAGTTTGCTACCAGGTTTCATCAGGTGCTTGCCTTAGTTTTAGAAGTCTCCGTTTCCTTTTTCATATCTTCCATACCAGTAATTAATCAATCTCCCCTCCTTGACTTTGTATTTTTATACATGTTCTTTTTTTGCTAGTTCTTAGCCACCAGTTGCTGGACCTAGAATTATGACTAGCTCCAATCCATATGATATTTCTGGACAAACACTTTTCCACTTCAGCTTCACCCCTTTACACTTTCTTCACTTGCAGGGAGAGAGGTTGAGGGACAGAAAATGTCTGCAATTTGCCCAGAGGATGACCATTCATTAACACCTTCTGTACTCCTTCAGTATAAACAGAATCAATATCTCCTGAATCTTGACATATTTTTACATCCCCAGGACATACTGGCAGGTAGTTGTTACCCATAATAACTCCTTACAATAAAATATTATATTTTAAACACTCAATAAAGGGATATATAATTTATTAAATATTAAATAAGAGTTAAATTTTGTTTGCATCATTAGATTAATAACCTGTTGCTTACATTGATAGTTTGTACATGTGGGTAGTGAATCTAGATACAGACACAGAAAATTTCTGTTAAGAGAATACAATGAAACACTGCTAAAACAATGTACTCTTTACCACTTCCAAACTCCATAATCTAAATATGCTTTAATAGCAGCCCTTGGGAGTAGGGACAGAATAAAAGACAATAAATGGAAATAAATCAAAAAATAGAAACCAAATTGGGAAGTTTGAGGCTAGCCACTGGTGTCTTTTGAACCTTTAAATGCTACCTTTATGCCAGTTTGAGTGGTTTTCATTAAAAAAGACATGTTTTTCTGCTTTCTGCTGTTACTGAGAGGCTTCTTCTTTTTCCCATTAATTGTAAGGGTACAGTGAATGCTTGCTTTTTCAGATTTTTACAGACAAAGTAAATATTAAAGAAAAAATCAGGGGAAAACATTTACATGTCAGAGACCAATGCAACGATTCCTCGGTCTCCAAACATTGCATCATCCCACTAATTAGCACAGGCCTGTAACCCACGATTTTCAACAAGATTTTCTAAGCACTGTGGCCATTTGTTTTGATGTCTACAAATACCTTGGTCTTGAAAGAGCCAGTATCTCAAACCCTGAAGTGGTTCAAGTCTTTGTCTGATTCAATTACTTTCAATTACTTTCTTGGTAGTTCTCCAGATCTCCTTTGAAGCCACTGTAAAATAAAATAAAAACCATGCCATCATATTTGTTATGTTCCATCCTTTGTTGCCAAGATAGTTTCAACAGTAAGTTACATACTCCACTGCTGTACAGGAGCTATATATTTCAATTTTCCTAGGACACTTGGGTGAAAATCCTTTCTTGATGATTTGTTGAAGTTCATTTGAAAGTTCACAGAATCACAGAATGGCCAGGGTTGGAAGGGACCTCAAGGATCATGAATCTCCAACCCCCCTGCCACAGGCAGGGCCACCAACCTCCACATTCAATACTAAACCAGGCTGCCCAGGGCCCCATCCAACCTGGCCTTGAACACCTCCAGGGACAGGGCATCCACAACCTCTCTGGGCAGCCTGTTCCAGCACCTCACCACACTCTCTGTAAAGAACTTCCCCCTGACGTCCAACCTAAATCTCCTCTCCCTCAACTTAAAACCATTTCCCCTCATCCTGCAATTATCAACCCTTTCAAAGAGTTGATTCCCCTCCCCTCTGTAGGCTGAGTCCATTTTTATTATTTAGTCTGACTTATAGTTTTTTATTTAATGTGCCAGTGTTTGTGCTCTTTTAATCTTTATCTATTTGGAAAGTGTTTTCATTAAAATTAAATATTCTTCCTTAGACATCCATTTAGCTAAAGCAGAATTTTCATGCTCTTTTACATTCTATTCTGAGTTGTCAGTTGATGTCTCTATATTTTTATTTTACTCTTTTTAAACTCACAATTTACATTGCACTTTTACATGTTTTTTATTAAATAATTTCTATGTATTCAGTGTTACTTGCAAAGGTATTTCTCTGGAGTAGATGGTATCACTTATGGTCTCTGTTACAAAGTGTTTCTCCCATGGCTTCTCCAGTGACAGTTCCTAGTGCCTTTTTTTGGGAATACAAGACCAGCTGTTCATCATTTTTAAAGAATAATCAGAAAAAAATTCCCCCCCCTAAAAAAACAACAAACAACAACCCAAAACAATAGTTTGTATTTTCAAAAATTGATTTCTATAACAGCTTCCCCGTGAATCTTCCACCTCTTTACAGAAGTACTTATGTCTTTGTATTTGGAAAACTACATTAAGTATCAAAAGAGTCACTGGAAAATCAGAGAAGTTGATACCAGTGTTGAACAGAAGTATTGAGTTCGATGATAAATTATTGGTGAGGATTGCTGGTGCCACCAGGTCTGCAGCTGTTCTCTAGAAAACGGTGCCTAGAGGAGATTATATAATGCAGGATTTTTGTTGTTCCATGAAACCACCTATGAGGCCACACATGAATATGTATTCACTGGACACGTTTTCTTGTGCTGGTAGAGACTTTGTCATGCTACATCTAGATAGAGGTGACCAGAGAAAGCACAATCCTCTGCTAGTTATTTGCTTTGATAGGAGCAGGATTTAACCAAGACCTGACTGTACATAGGAAGAGAGAAGGAATTCAAAGGCATTTAATACAATAAAAGCTAGGAAAGTTAGTATAGATTGAATGTTGTGGAAATCTATTTTATACACAGGTATATGTGGTTATCCATAGGACAGACAGCAACAGTTATGCTGATTCAGTTACCTGCAGGTCAGAGCTGTAAATCTGTTGATGTTTGTAACCTTTGGCAGACTAAGAAGGCAGCAGGATCAAAGCGGGCAGACTTCCAGCACAGACAGCAGAGCATCCTTGCAGAGCCATGGGAAGCTTCAAGATGGACGTAACAACAACTTGCTTGGACATGGCTGTACAAGAGGCTGCAGCAGCTAGTGAGCTACAGCTCCACACAGGCTTTCACCTGGGGGTGAGGAAGAATCCTCTCCCACATGCCTTCATACTCACCCCTTGGATCCCAAGCAATCAGTCCTCCTGCAGGATCCCCAGCTGAGGGCAAGTCCACAGAGAAAATGGCTGAGAACTTCGATCTAAGACTGTTCTTCTGACTCTGCCACTGGAAAAAAGCGACCATCAAGAACAAAATGCAGTTTTATAAGTTTGACTTTCCTTTTCAAAATCCTGGAAGAAAACTTGAAACAACTCACTAGGCAGCCTCTCAAATATTGCCATGTTTCTGGCCATTTGCAAGAGACAAGTTGCACTGGGGCCAGCTTTATCTTGAAGACTTTACGCTATCCTCTCTGTCTCCATTAATTAAAATGATCCAATGTTGAATTTCATGGAGCTGCTAGACACAGCTGTTTCCAAACATCTGCTGTTGAGTTTATAACAGATGTACATGATGTAAATACATGATTGTAGTGTCAAATAGGATAAACACTGAATAATTTCATTTGACTACCTGAAGGCCATTGGCAATGTTGCACCGTGAATGTCTTCATTTTGTTCTTTAACTTCATGCATTCTGCTGTGTAGTGAGAGATGTGACCCAGGCCAAATCAAACTGTTGCCAGTGACTCTTGTGGATGCAGGATCAGACACATCAGCAGTGTTTCATAAATATGACAAAGACAGATCTTTATAGACTGACTGAGCCTGAGCTGAAAAGCAGCTTAGGAAGGAGAGCTAAAAACACGAAGAATTTGCTCAGATCCACAGTTAAATGTTATAAATGTGAAGAAATCTGTTTCCATGGATCTATTCTGGACAAGAACTGTCTTGAATAGAAAGAAACATACATTATCCTTTAGTATTGATTAGATGAAGTCTCTTTTTTTTAATTGAAAAAAAAGAATAGCATCCACAATCTCATATATTTAATACATTTATGGTATTTTACAACTTGTACATCCACATTTTGATAATAAATGCATGCTCGTTCTGTCCAATTGTGCTTTTCTTTTTAAGAGTTATGTAAACAAATTTCATTTCAAATTTTTTTAAGACATAATGTAAGCCTTTGGAAGTGATAGGCATTTTATTTGTAATAACCTATTTTTACTGTATTGTTTCCATTTTATCTTTTAGAAAACAAAGTTCTTTGTAATCAAATAGATTTTAAAATTTTGTTTCACATTATATGTAATTTTTTTGTCAAAATTTTTTCATAAAATACAGATTTTTTATTGCTCCATGAAATGATATGGTGTTCCTGTCCACAACAGAGAAGTTTACTAAAGCACTAAGGCAAAGACTTTACATTTGTTATAAGCATAGTGTGGATTTACTTGCTTAATTTTGGCACAGACTGAAATCATAGGATCAAACAAAGGGGTAGAGATGCTTTGGTCTTAAAGAGAGTAGCTTTCATTGCCCAGAATAAACTGTTTCATGATCATAACTCCTTATAACGATCCTTTATTATTATTATTAATAATGTTTATTTCACATTGGAAGTTCCAGAGTAACATTTTATATAACATCTGGAAAAGCCTATTTCTCTGTTTCATTTAAAATGTATTGCGATCTTTGATCTCGATCCTAGAAAGAAATGAAAGATTTTATGAGAGCAATCCTAAACAAATTAATGGCACTTCTCATTTGCGGGATCCATGCTGTAACAGATATTACAGATTAAAGCCACGAAGCTTTAGGAGGTAAGGTCAGTAATATATGAAGCATGAAATGTTCCTGAGATGTCACTCACGAGGTTGTCAGCCTGCATCTGCATTGTGGAGCTCCTCGTGTTGGGCTGCAATGCTTGCTAACAGACACCCAGCCACTATGCAGTCTGTCTATTGAACAAGTCCTGATCCACAGCCTTTAAAATACAAGAGTTTCATCAATGACACACTAAAATCCGAGGATTTTTCCTGCAAGTGGAATTCAATTAGCAGCAGGAGTCTTTTGAACATTTGCAGTTTGATCTGGCTGGCTGCAGGGGACTTTTGCCAATGCTTCACTAAGCTGTTTTTGAGATGAGCCTGGTTATTTGATAGATGGCATCTCCTTGAATGTGTTTGTAGAGCGTTATGCACAAATGCAATCCCACACAAACACTTTAATTTCACAGTTGTCACCACACAGTCATTTCTCAAGCAACTTTGCTACTTTAAAAAAAACTCATGGCACTGATGCTCAGGTGCATCCAGAGTCCATGACACTTCCCCTGACTGCAAGCTGAACCTTACATTGCATATAACTGCCTTCATCTGCTTACTGTGCAGGTCAACAGATACTCTTGGCTACACTGTGGTGACCCAATGCACTTTTCATCTTTCCATTCTAACACTATAAAGAACTGTCCTACCCTGGGAAGCACCGATAATGGTGCAGAAGTGAGCTTGTTCTTAGCTTTGTTGGAATCTAACAATGACTAGAAGGAAAGTCATGCGGCTTGGGAATAATCCTGAGAAGCTCTGGGATGGGATTTGTCTCCTTGAACTTCAGACTTGAACAAAAATGCACATGCCTGCAGCTCAGTTAGCCAGATGTAGGCTCAAAAAATAAGAATAAGAATAAAGAAAGATGCTTGTAGGATGCAGTGCCTTTGGTCAGTCTTGATTTTCTCCTTCAGCAGATGTATGTCCCTGTAGTTCTGCCTCCATGGTGTATAAAGTCAGCATACACAGTCATTGGCAGATGAATCATGTTTGTTACGGCATAGGCATTTTGTGGAGTTGCAGTCTCATTGTTATGAGAAAAAAGGAACGATCGTGGTCATTTCAGCAGCAGTAAGAATGAGCCATTTAAAGTTTCCATCCTTGCATGCAAAAGTAGTATTATATTTTATACCAAAACAGTCACTTGCAATGAGTGCTGCCTTGCTTTTCCACCAGAAATGAAAACAATGCAACCCAAATAAATGGGGAAGGTTTCTACAAAATACTTCATGAGACAGAAGGGAAAAACAAAGTGTAGAATATATAGGCATGAAATCAAAAGAAACTCCTTGGGACTCATTTGTTCTCTATGGCTTTATTGCTTTGCAAAAACAGCCAGTGATTCTAACTCCCAAAGTCTCTTTTTGTTTCTTGTCATCATTTCAAGGGTAAAATCTTTTTTTCTTATTTCTCTTCCAGGGAAGAGAGAGAGAAGTCTAACACAACTGGAAAAGCAATTTGCTGCTACATTTTGTTGCAATGCCACTTGCTCTGCAGTGTTACAGTTCTGCTCACACACACACATTCCCACAGCATCTTTCTACCATAAACTCTGCCAGATTTACCTTCTGTTCAGTTTGCTCCTTCTACACTGTGAATTAAATATTGGCACAGCACAGTAAATGTTTAATTACCAACCACCATAAATACAAATAGCTCTTTTCATCTCTAGTCTTGACAAAATGATTAATGAAATATATCCAAAAGTTTTTAATGTAGATTTTTGGAGATGGGAAGGATGGTGATAGATCTTGGTACACTATTGACATGAAGGTACTTAGTGGAGAAAATACTATCCAGCAATCCATCCATCCATCCCATCAATTTAGATGTTTTCTGCTTGCAGGAATAGATAATCACAATTCAAAACATATTTCTTGCAGCTTATGCTAAACCTAAATGCTGGTACACTGGGATGCAAAGTGACCAGCTGAATGAGACCCAGAGAACTGTTCTGTTTCCCAGTTGGGTAGCTACACCAACACTTGCATATGGAAAAGTACTTAGCAGCACAGGAAAACCTTGGAGGTTTTGGAGATGTTCATTTACAGCTGTGGTGGGTGCTGGAAAACAGATATTCCAAGTGCCTTCAAGTAGAAAGCAAACAAACAAACAACAAAAAAGCAAGGTATGCTCTTGAACCTCCTGTGCTAATATCTGCCTTGAGAGCAGATCTGGAACAAATCACTGCCCTTTACAAAATCACCATTATTTGTATGTCTGGCTTCACCCATAGCACAACAGGCTCCTGACCACAAGAAGGCAAGGCTCCACCTACTTACAGCACTGGGCTGCTCAGACTCTGGCTGCTTGTGTAGCAAAAGGAAAAAGAGCTCGTGGCAGCTGCTGGAGCCAAAAGCTCCAAAAAATAGACATTATTTCCTATGCAGCCATTGCAGCTCAGTCCCTCAGCACACACTGCCAACAGGCTCTGAAGTAAATTCGAAATGAGGAATAGTGTAAAAGCTTGTTCAGATCCTTCTGGTGGCCTCCATGCAAGCCCAGTGTGATTTCTAAATCAGAGCTTTGCAGCTCCTCTGAAGAGCATATTCTTAGATAAATAACTATTTTCTTACGCACATTGTGCTTAATCATCTCAGCTTCCTCCAGAGTACTTCTGTATTTTAATGACTGGATCAACTGCTCTCTGGCCAGCAGGGAGAAACGTTTTGATATTTTTAGCATTCATTTAGCAGTGGAAATTAGCTTGCTATAATCATGTTTGTGAGAAAACACACACTACAATCAGGACTATAATAATGACTGATATTAGCTGTGCTCTATACATCAATGAACTTGGCTCAGATATACAAACTTTTTTCTTTTTAATTGGGAAGGATGAATGTATCTTATCAATTGGAATAATTTCTAACAAAAATAGCCAAACTCTTGAGTCTTCCCAGGCGCTCAAAATCATAAAGTAGGACAGAAAAAATTGTTGTTCAATCTCGGGGATTTTTTTTTTTTTTTTTTTTTTTTTTTTTTTAATTCAATTATAAAAAGCAAAGTAAGGATATAAAAATTCCGCAGCATTCAATTCTCATTAAGAGAAAGAGGACTAAAATGAATCCTAAAAATAAAAGTCCTCCCAAAGTTTATGCCCATTATTATAGAATTAGGTAGAAATCAGTATTCTCCAAAACCAATTACCTGAATAGATTTATTCATAGACACTTCCATAGGCAAAAATATTTTGGAACTTGAGCACTAGAGAATGTTTTGCATCTTACTTTTTCCACTGATTTGATATGTGTTATATTTCTTTCTGAA